AAGATAATGTCTCCATTAATGCTCCATTTTAAAATGTTCACTGCCCCCGGTCGGGACTCCTCGTAGTCTCTGTACAGTGTTGTATAACACTGGAATCTCCCTCACACACTGACTACCCGTGAAGATCTCTGTATAGTGCTGTATAACACTGGAATCTCCCTCACACACTGACTACCCGTGAAGATCTCTGTACAGTGCTGTATAACACTGGAATCTCCCTCACACACTGACTACCCGTGAAGATCTCTGTATAGTGTTGTATAACACTGGAATCTCCCTCACACACTGACTACCCGTGAAGATCTCTGTATAGTGTTGTATAACACTGGAATCTCCCTCACACACTGACTACCCGTGAAGATCTCTGTACAGTGTTGTATAACACTGGAATCTCCCTCACACACTGACTACCCGTGAAGATCTCTGTACAGTGTTGTATAACACTGGAATCTCCCTCACACACTGACTACCCGTGAAGATCTCTGTACAGTGTTGTATAACACTGGAATCTCCCTCACACACTGACTACCCGTGAAGATCTCTGTATAGTGTTGTATAACACTGGAATCTCTCCACTGACTACCCGTGAAGATCTCTGTACAGTGTTGTATAACACTGGAATCTCCCTCACACACTGACTACCCGTGAAGATCTCTGTACAGTGTTGTATAACACTGACTACCCGTGAAGATCTCTGTACAGTGTTGTATAACACTGGAATCTCCCTCACACACTGACTACCCGTGAAGATCTCTGTACAGTGTTGTATAACACTGGAATCTCCCTCACACACTGACTACCCGTGAAGATCTCTGTACAGTGTTGTATAACACTGGAATATCCCTCACACACTGACTACCCGTGAAGATCCGGGTTAGAATCGATCTTCAGCAACCCATGCTTGTCGTAAGTGGCGACTAACGGGACAGGGAGGACAGGCTCGCCGACTTGGTTGACACATCCTAGTTGCGTAGATCGAAGTTCATGATCATTAGATTGTCTGGTCCACATTCGACTATTTACAGACCGCGCCATATAACTGAAATATGCGGCATTAAACCAAAAAAAGACAACACCTTTTCAAGCATACCAAACCCCAGTCACTCAATACTTTCTTCAAACTCCCATAAATCTCTGAGCCGTATGGAAGATAACGTTAACTATCCCCCCTCCCCCCAGTTTCAAGTCTCTGTCTCTATTGATGTATGTCCTGTGGGAGAAGAGATGCGAATCAATCACAACAGTTGTTTTTAAACGTTCTACATCTTGTAGTATTATAAACATTTCCCACACGTTGTTGAGCTTTCTGCAAAGAACCATACATCCTCACGAGGTTCTTGTTCGTTGAGGTTAACCTATTAGTTATTACAAACATATAAACTGCTCCAATCTAGTCTTACAGTAGTACAGAGGTATAGGCATTATCCAACCATTTCCTTGACTGCTATATTCAGGTTGATTTTATTCATTTTATTTCCTCATTATACTACACATATTACATGTACACGTACAAACACTTGTGTTATTCCAAAACACAGAACACTACATACCAAGGCAAACAAGCATTGATTCTCCATTAACACAAATCAAAAAAAATAAACAAAAACATTCTAAAAATCCCCCAAACAACAAACCTTTTTCTATACAACATATTCACATGATATTGCTAACAAAAAGACCAATAAAATTGTGTTTCTGGTCTCTGGGTTTCCGTAAAATGACAACAACTGGGGTTAGGGTCCAGTGTTTGAAGGGGGCCTGACACAGAGAACATTCTATAGAACATTTTAAAAAAAAAAGGGAATAAGATCATTTAAAGTTAAAATTAACATGGTGATCAATTACAATTAGGATTTGAATACATTGCCAGTGCACAACACGTTTTGTACATCACCTTCTGTCGTCTAACTGGGTTCCGCGGTGGCTGTGTGTTAAAACCGGTTCAGCCTGGTTCCCGAGGTCTGCTGCGCTGGCGCGTCACGCATCAGTGTGAACCAGGCTGAACTGGTTGGGGTTAACACAGACCTCGCTACGCCGTGAAGTATCAGAATACGTCCCATTGCGGATTTAATCAGACTTCATTGAATAATCAGAACGTCACAAAAGTGAAAGCGACACTCGGAAATGCATTCTAATCATGCACCCTCGAAAAAGTGAACACGTGGTGTTCCGTCAACGTCATCGTCATCTCGTGTCAGTGTGGTTAACATTTGAAACTAAGGGACTTTCCGTATCCCCTATAAAGTACTGCCATACAATCTCGAGTATCTGTTAGACATTTCAGAATTATCTTGGGTTCAGTTTTCACGTTTTGATTCGACATTTTGCAAAGCGTATCCTGGTTGTCGCCTGTTTGAAACGTGTGTCGTCAAATTCTATAAGTGGCATGTAAGAAGTTGGGAAGTACAATAATGACCCGTTCAATAACAATAATTACGAATGTTATGGATGGTAACTTCTTTTATTTCATAAGTGGTATGTTTCGATGCAGGGCCCCGTTCCTCAAAGCGATCGTAGCGCTAAGATGATCGTAACTCCCATACTTTAACATAGACTTACGACAGTCGTAGCACTACGATCGCTTTCTGGAACAGGGCCCAGATTCTTAAACCGTTGTCATTCATACTTGACAACAGTAAAAGAATCTATATCGATATATCGCACCTATGAAATATAAGAAGTTTCCATCCATAACATTCGTCATTATTCTTCCGTACAGCTGAAGAAAACCGTCTACTGATTGGCTAATGTCGACTGCCTGCTAGGTATTTCATTGGTCGGTGAACGATCGTTCCGAGGTGACCTGTGATGGAATGTCCTCAAATCTTTGTAGCGAGCACCAAGACCTGATGTTTAAAATGTGATTGGCATTAATTGTGTTTTCAACAATATTTCCGTCATATCATAGCTTGTTTGCTTAATGTGGGAGATTAATTTAATCGTTAGGTCCCATTTCGGAAAGCGCTCGTAGCATTCAACAGTTTTACTTCAGTAATAAAATATGGGACTTTTAGGTTACTACAGTGTGTCAGTCATGGTGTTTATAAGGCGGAGATGGGTGAGTAACTATTAACATCATAAAAGTTAATCAAGTACATATATTGGTAGTGTTCCCGGCGAATTGTGATCACAAGATAATAATGAAATATATTTCATAACAACATTATATTATACATAACAAAATAATTATCCTATAAAAAACTAATATCACACAACACAAAAATAATAATCGTAAACAATAATAACACTTAAACAAGAAAAATAATAATTGTAAAAGGACTTAAATTGAATTTAGTTAACGATACTTAATATTTCCCAATGAGTTGAGATGAGCAACATGAGGTGTTGCCGTCGCCCTGGATACCGGGCAGCCACGTCATAGTTCAGTGGCGGTTGTCTATACCGTAATACCATAATCAGGCCAAAACACACAAACGCCGGTAGGTATAACCACAGGGGTTCGAGCCACTGTTTGGACAATAATTTTTATAAATCAAAATCAAGAATAGGTAAAATTTTCTAAAATCTTTATTTTTTCACCAATTTTGTTCGAATTTGAAATATATGTTAATCATAACATATAAAACAATATATAATTGCAAAAGTCCCGATTTTTATTTTTAAAAATTATTGTGCAAACAGTTTTTCGAACCCCTGTGGGTATAACCCCTAACCCCGATACGCTGTTAATCCATACCGATCGTATGGAAACAGCGGTATTCGTTACTAAACATGATTAACCTAACTACATAAACATTAATGTAACACGTGTTATATTTGGGAGTACACTTCTCATAAAATATTAACAAAAATAGCATTAACAAAAATAAGAAATCTAAACTCAAGTAAAGGTAAATTAAAATGTACATTAGATATACGTTTGGAGTACACACATAATCATGGTCTTTGATGAATCCGGATGATCACTACCTGGAGATATGAATAATTATAAAAATGTCAGGAGATAGTAAGTGCAGCTCACGACTTTCTCGTATGACACCTGAAGACCCGAGACAATCATTTTTCTGGTACCTTGCCCAAACAGGAATATATGACAACGTCAATAATACATTACATCAGAAACGTGGTCTAATAATTACTGTTAATGTCGTGTCAAATAAGAGCCAATTCAATTGGTCAGCTACCTGGGGACGGAAACATGTTCCCGGGGGAGGGAGGAGGAGGAGTGTGTGCGTGTGTGTGTATGTGTGGTTGGGTGTGTATGTGTGTGTGTGGTTGTTAGAAAGAGAGAGGGGGAGAGGGAGGCAAATTCTTCTAATTACCTGACGTTTGCCACAACCGTAAAACTATTACTTATACTATAGTGCGTTTGGCTCAAAAGCGGACCGATGAATTGCAATCTAACTCGAAAACTAATAAACATATAATACTGAATGAAACACTGATCCTAATCAAAACATAAGATCTGTCATTTGTTTGCAGAATTCATGTCCTAAAATTAAAAGTTGTTTAACAAACAATCGTTAAAATATTGACACAGTTCACTATTTCTTACGAGGGAGGAGTGCAGAGGAAGGGACAGCCAGGTGTTAGAGAAGCACGTGCACAAGTGCCGACAAAGTTATTGATTCATTAACCTGTGCTGTGCCGTCTCCTTTCTCGCACACCAGGCTGTCCCTTTCTCTGCACTCCTCCCCCGTAACAAGTAGTGAACTGTGTCAATATTTTAATGATAGTTTGTTAAACAACTTTTTTATTTAAGGACATAAATTCGGCAAAAAACTCACAGAGTTGGTCTGACGTTTTGATTATGATCAGTGTTTCATTGAGTATTTTATGTTTATAAGTTTTCGAGTTAGATTGCAATTCATCGGTCCGCTTTTGAGCCAAACGGACTATAAGGAGGAATGCACAGGGACCAAACTTCGAGGCACATGGACCTTCGACACAACAGAGTTCATAATACAGATACTGTGATAATGTCGGTACAATTCCGAGACCGCACCCGGTACTAAATTACCAGTACCTAAATACTACTGTGACCATTTCTGACAATTTCCAAAGATCACGTAACTGGTTCCTGAGGCAAAACGTAATTTCTACACAGTTTTCCGACTATTGACAATACTTGTTAAATACACTTCTGTCTAGTTGACTTTCAACCAACTGATATCACAGTAAACTGGTTCTAAACGTCCACCCAATACTCAAGGGAGAACGTGGCTGGAATGTTAGAATAACTGCTAGTGTCTGAAATGAACATATTTTACAGAAAAAGCATTTCATAAAAAAAAAAAAATAATGAAAAAGAGACCTGAGACTTTCTTCATTTTCAGAAACTTCGGAAATCTAGACTTGCCACATAATCTAGACTTGCATGGTCTTTCTGGGATATATTTTTGTTTCAGGGTCTGTATGACCGAGTACTGGAATCAGGGAGGCCGTTCATGACATCTACTGGTTCCCCACTGTTCACGGTAGTTCCTAGTGAACGCCATGAAGGTCAAGTTCAACCGGCGTTTCAAGGTCACTCAGTACTTCGCAGTACCTGCAAAAAGAACATTTAGTGAGTGGTTGAATGAGTGAGTGAGTTTGGTTTAAACCCGTACACCACAAAAGCGTACCCATGTGATGAAATGAATAAAAATGGCAGTTAAAACCACGGCTTTGGATTCTGACAGAAAATGGAAGAAATTCATAGTGAAAGTATTCCTAGCTATAACATGGGTACCGATAACACAACATATGTGACTTCATGAATGCGGGTCATCGTAACTGGCAGCGTCATGATATCGATCACTGGTTTGCGCGTCGTGAATGTTACCGAGTGTGTTGATGAGCAGAATTCATTCACCAAAATTATATTTGCGCTGTGGGTACATGTAGGGGGTCTCTTTGTGTAGGTTTGAATACTAGCTTCATCTGAATCACTTACTTGTTTTTGAAATCCAGAACAATCGCTTTCATCTCCTTGGTTTTTGATAATTCTTCTCTCACTCTGAAATGATGATGGTAGGAAAGAGCCTTTAGTTTAAGCAAATAGGCAGCATCACATAACATCAAGGTAGGATAGGGGCGGTCGGGTAGCCGAGTGGGTAAAGCGTTCCCTCGTCACGCCGAAGACCCGGGTTCGATTCCCCACATGGGTACAATGTGTGAAACCCATTTCTGGTGTCCCCCGCCGTGATGTTGCTTGAATATTGCTAAAAGCGGCGTAAAACCAAACTCGCCCGCTCACTCAAGTTAGGATAATCACCAGAAATATAGATCAATTGGCAAAACGTTGTGAAACCTGTGAGGCCAACTTACCATATTTCAAGACCTTGTGGTGTTTAGTGCTTAATGCTGGCTTGGCGAGCGAGTGAGTGAGTGAGTGAGTGAGTGGGTGGGTGGGTCTTAAGTGAGTGAGTGAGTGAGTGAGTGAGTTTAACGCTGCCTTCAACAGTATTCCATTTACATAATGGCCTATAGGGAAATCTGGAGTGGCGAAGATCTCAGTCGTTTATTAATTTGGTGCTGACAAACCTGGAAACATAACTGAGCGTACCGGGAGTCGAACCCATGATCATAGGTTTCTTGCATACCCATGTGGCCCACCTCTGGCCCACCTCTGGCCCACCTCTGTTAGACTGCACAAAGAAGACCTTATCAGCAATATCTCAGTGTATTATTTTAAGACACCAAGTTGTCCCTTTGTCCAGGCTCACCCCCATTGCCTAGTTTTAACGACTTTAGTGCCTCTGATTTTCGTTCAACAACGTTCGTCAAAATACCAGCTGAAATACCCGACGAAGAATAAGCCATTTAAAGCAAGTTTGGTTTCTGTTCACCCTCTGGAAGGTCAGCCCTAAATCCACCCTGATGTCACTATCACCCCAGTAACATGTCACTGCATGTGAATAGAATGGTCCTTCGATAAGAAAGGAGGGAATGAGTGAGTTTACTTTCACGCCGCTTTTACCAATATTCCATCAATATCACAGTGGGGGATATCAGAAATGGACTACACACATTTTACCAATCTGGGAAATCGACCCGTTTAACCACCCTGCTAACCAACTGTCCATTGACCAGTACGGCAATACTATAGATGTTTAAGTGAAACGTGATGGCTTACCCCTTGTCTATTGACAGAGACTTCTGCCGGACTGAATCAGAGAAACTCGATGCTGACATTTGTGACTTCTGAAAAACAAAGAAGCACAATCAACCAGTTGATTGGAACCCAATCATGATTTGATGCTTACGATTAAAAAATACTGGAAGGAGCAGATTGAAATGTTTTGAGGTCCTGTTAGAGAAGAAGAGACTGAAGTAGCTGAAAGTACCTGGGAGTCGGCTATCTGCCTGGACAGTGCAGCCAATGATTTCTGGATGTCCTCCAGTTTCTTTTCCGCAGTCTGGAGCCGGTCCTCAGTTTCGTAATAATTCCTACAAAAAATAATATGACGTGGAAGAACAGTACAAGTTGGCGAAATCAAATGAAGTAGCAGTGGGTATTTGCAAAGGATCTGGGATTGTCAAAAAGAACAATTTTACTTGTAGAGCTGGATTGCAAGGAGTGGCTGATGCCGCTATCTTATCTCTGACATACAGGAATGTAGGGTTTTCATATTCCAGCAACATAAAATTGGGGAGCACCAATGATATGCTTCGAGCCAAGACTTCACCGCCCAGGCGAAGACCCAATGTGACGTCACCTGGTTGTATTTGAGATTGATTGATTGATTGATTGATTGACTGAGTTAACATACTTCGCCCATTGGTGAAAGCTGTCCTGTAAAAACTTGTTCTTAGGAACACAGTGCGAGGTCCAACGGTCCCTTGAGCTGGAGTGTATTTGTTGAAGTTGGGCCCTGGAAGTATAACATTAACATGGAGAACATGAACAAAGTAGTCTAGTCTTTGTGAATAATACGCCATTCAAATAAATCTTCGCGACGCCATGTTGCTTAATTTCTGCAGTTGTACGTGAAACACAGGCTATTTGCAATACGTTGTTAGCATGTAATTCCACTCACTTCTCGATCTGGTGGACTCGCTCATCCAGTCGGCCGAAAGTCCTCTTCTTCCGTCTTTCATAAAAGCGCGGCACGATGTCCTTGGCTCTGACCAACCACCGCATGTATTTCCTTTCGCTGAAGATGTGAAATAATAAATCTGATAACTTCTAACTCGTGCACAAGATTCATGGTTGGTTCCAGGGCAGATGTCTCCCCAGTACCCAACTGGTAGTCCTATGGGGCAAATATATTGGTAAACATGGTGATTCCAGACTGGAACTGGTTCCTAGAACCATTGGATCAGATGGTCAGCAAAATTAACGCTAAATGCCGACTAGTGATTGATATTATGAGCAACTGTGATACGCAATGAATGAGTTGACCCTGCCTGACTTCCCGAACCATTAACGTGTCACTTTGCAGATGTTCAGACCTTGATACTTTCCGAGTACCCACACCACAAAAAACATCACACCACCATGTGAAAAATATTGTTAAAAAACATCAAACCTCTTTTCATTTCTTACAAGCTTTTGTTATAGGAAAATACACAACGACGTGATTACATGGGGAATTTAAAAAGGCTCCATCAATTGAACAGTCTCCTTCCCTCCACCTAGTCAGCTCTTTGATTCCGGTTAGAAGATGTCTGTCAAAAGTGATAATCATAGCAGATTGGCAAATGAAACGACAGTAACCCCCTTTCCCTCCTACAATAATATGTATGGTAGCCAATGCTGCCTCACCATGAGCAGTTTTCGAAGCACCACGCATGCGCCTCCAGACTGACGTCATCACTTTTCGCGTAGCTGTGTGTAGCCAGGGAGTCTCCACACGCCCCCAAGTCCGCCCGTACCTGAAACCGATTTAGTTGTAAGTGAGTGAGTGAGTTTAGTGAGGACCAGACAATCCAGTGATCAACAGCATGAGCATCGATCTGCGCAATTGGGAACCGATGACATGTGTCAACCAAGTCAGCAAAACTGACCACCCGATCCCGTTAGTCGCCTCTTACGACAAGATAGTCGCCTTTTTACGGCAAGCACATGGGTTGCTGAAGACCTATTCTACCCCGGATCTTCACGGGTCCGATTTAGTTGTAAATATACTAGTGCATGAACTTATTATTCCAGTGAGGTCATATTTTTTATGTTGCAGATATATATTTACAGATAAGAAAAACCTATTTCTGGGAATTAAATGTCAGTCAAGGACTCCGTTCACCTTGTCAATGGTTGACATGATGCTCTCACAGGCGGCTGGCGACCCCTGGCGACCAAACAAGGTGGTAGCCAGATAGTCGACATGTTCGAACAGTGTGTTGACGTAGCTGTGTTTGTTGTGGACGCTGTCTTCCCTGTCTGTCTGTTTCCTCCTGAAATACCAAAACGATACTTGTACATGTTTGTTTGTTTGTTGTTTAAAGCAGAACGCAGCAATATTCCATCTGCATAACGGCGTTCTTTCAATAATCGAGTCTGGACCCGAAAATCCAGTGACTGATGTCAACGAAGTCAGCGAGCCTGACAACTCGATCCCATAAGTCGCATCTTACGACAAGCATGGGTTGAGATCAATTTTAACCTTGCATTTCAAAACATCCTAAATTTAACGTTATGACACCACACTAGTCACTTCTGGCCGGATTTCTTATTGAAAAGAATGATTTTAAATCAAGGATAGTTCATTAAAACAATGTAAGGATTCGAACCCGTGTTTCCGTGACGCGTCACCGCTCTATCTGCAAGGCAATTAACTTGCACGTCATTATTAAGGACCACTTCGGAACAGCAGTGAGTGAGTGAGTGAGTTTGGTTTTTACGCCGCTTTTAGCAATATTCCAGCAATATCACGGCGGGGGACATCAGAAATGGGCTTCACATATTGTATCCATGTGGGGAATCGAACTCGTGTCTTCGGCGTGACGAGCGAACGCCTGAGCCACAAGGCTTCCCCACCACCCCGGAACAGCAGTGACAACTGCCTTCGCTGATCTAGAGGGATGAGGTTCTCCAAAATCGGGGGGCGGTTGACGTGAAAAGTAATGGACTAATAACACACAAAAAAATTAAAAATCAGATGTTTGTTTGTTGTTTAACGCCGCACTCAGCAATATTCCAGCGATATGTCCGCTGTCTGTAAATAATGGAGTCTGGACAATACAATCCAGTGATCAACAGCATAAGCATCGATCTACGCATTTGGGATACGATGACATGTGTCAACCAAGTCAGCGAGCCTGACCACCCGATCCCGTTAGTCGCCTCTTACGACAAGGGTTGATGAAAACCAATTCTGACCAGGTTCGTAACGGGTTCAAAAATCAGATCCAAATTCTGTATCCGTTCTTGAATAATATGGGATTTTATGGCACAGCCAAAGATTGGCTACCAAAACGAAAACTTGAGCTTTTACAATGTGAGTAACATGGACTGACCTCAGCCTCCGTCTGACGCCGATGAAGTGTCTCTGGGCAAGTGATGTCACGTGACTGTGTCTGTGGATGAGCGCCACGTGCTCCATGAGACGCTTGGCGTGCTTGAAATCTACATCCGGTTGATTTGCCGAGGAAAACCTCGTGGTGGTGTCTGTGATGATATAAGCAAAGAATGTCATTGCCAAATGTTACATCACCATGGTTACTGATGTTGCTATGAGTGAGTAAGTGAGTGAGTTTAGTTTTACGCCGGTTTTAGCAGAATTCCCGCAATATCACGGCGGTCGAGTTTAAGACGTTTGACGAGTTAGTGAGTGGTTTTATGCCACTTTTAGCAATATTCCATCAATATCACGGACACCAGAAATGGCATTCACACATTGTTCCCATGTCGGGAATAAAACCCGGGTCTTTAGCGTGACGAGCTAACGCTTTAACGACTAGGCTACCCCACCGCCCCATGTAACTATGAAGTCAGAAATATTCTCATTGACTGAAAGGCCCACTGGTGAATACTGCAATCAACGGCAGTTTAAGCAAATACATTTTCTCTATAACAAAATAACTAAAGTACACACATTAAGAAGAAGAAAGATACAGATATTTTACTTTCTCTATGAAAGAAGAGCCATAATAAAACTTTTTAAGAGGCCATAATAAAACTTTTCTAAAAAGACACAATTCTATTCATCACATTACACAAGGAGCCATAATAAAACTTTTCTAAAAGACACAATTTATTCATCACATTACACAAGGAGCCATAACAAGACACAAGCCATCACATTACACAAGGAGCCATAATTTAACTTTTCTAAAAAGACACAATTCTATTCATCACATTACAAACATGTCCAGCTTAAAATGTCTTAGATGTAAAACCAGAGGCTAAAGTTTAATTTTACTGAAACCGTTTTAAATCTTTGAAAGGCATTTGAAAAGCAAGATTTATGGATGTCAACTTCTTTATTGTGAATAACACGACGTTTCGTATGAATGCTCCTTCATATATCTTGCTTTTCTGAAACCGTTTTGTTTTCTTACAAAAAGAGGATTTTGAGCCATCAGATATTTTTTCACCAGATGCTGTTTAACACGTCGTATGTCGTTTATATGAATCATTAACAAAGAAGTCAGCAATAATATTTCACCCATGGCTCAAGCGTGTCATTATTTCCATTTGTAAAGATCATAGCATGGGCTATTCTCCTACCCTCAATCTCTGTCAGCACAGGGTCGACGTCACGTGTGTCGTCATGGCGGGTCCTCCCTGGCAAGAGGATAACTGGTTCCTCCTGGCTGGTCGTCCGGAGTTCCTGGATACTGTCCGTCTCCTTCACCGTCTCCGTCAACAACACATCCTCCAGCATCAGCAGCTGCTCCGTCACCAACACCCCGGTCTGACGCTCCAATTCCTTCTGAGTATCGCGGACGCTGGGGATCGACAACGTCAAAATATAAAAACAATACGTCACCGACGAGCGCTGGGGATCGATAACGTTAATATACACGACAAATACGTCACTGAAGGACAGCGGGGATCGATAACGTTAATATACAGGACAAATACGTCATTGAAAGATAGTGGGGATCGATAACGTTAATATACACAACCAATAAGTCACTGACGGACGCTGGGGATCGATAACGTTAATATACACAACCAATAAGTCACTGACGGACGCTGGGGATCGACAACGTTAATATACACAACCACTAAGTCGCTGACGGACTCTGGGGATCGATAACGTTAATATACACAACCAATAAGTCGCTGACGGACGCTGGGGATCGACAACGTTAATATACACAACCACTAAGTCGCTGACGGACTCTGGGGATCGACAACGTTAATATACACAACCAATAAGTCACTGACGGACGCTGGGGATCGACAACGTTAATATACACAACCAATAAGTCGCTGACGGACGCTGGGGATCGACAACGTTAATATACACAACCACTAAGTCGCTGACGGACTCTGGGGATCGACAACGTTAATATACACAACCAATAAGTCACTGACGGACGCTGGGGATCGACAACGTTAATATACACAACCAATAAGTCGCTGACGGACGCTGGGGATCGACAACGTTAATATACACAACCAATAAGTCACTGACGGACGCTGGGGATCGACAACGTTAATATACACAACCACTAGGTCACTGACGGACGCTGGGGATCGATAACGTTAATATACACAACCAATAAGTCACTGACGGACGCTGGGGATCGACAACGTTAATATACACAACCAATAAGTCACTGACGGACGCTGGGGATCGATAACGTTAATATACACAACCAATAAGTCACTGACAGACGCTGGGGATCGACAACGTTAATATACACAACCAATAAGTCACTGACGGACGCTGGAGATCGACAACGTTAATATACACAACCAATAAGTCACTGACGGACGCTGGGGATCGATAACGTTAATATACACAACCAATAAGTCACTGACGGACGCTGGGGATCGATAACGTTAATATACACAACCAATAAGTCACTGACGGACGCTGGGGATCGACGACGTTAATATACACAACCAATAAGTCACTGACGGACGCTGGAGATCGACAACGTTAATATACACAACCAATAAGTCACTGACGGACGCTGGAGATCGACAACGTTAATATACACAACCAATAAGTCACTGACGGACGCTGGAGATCGACAACGTTAATATACACAACCAATAAGTCACTGACGGACGCTGGAGATCGACAACGTTAATATACACAACCAATAAGTCACTGACGGACGCTGGGGATCGACAACGTTAATATACACAGTAGTCTCAGACAAGGAAACAAAGGTAATATTCTTCCAGCGTTGCCTTACCTCTGAGAGGCGTTCATATACAGCCTGCAGAAAGGGTTGACGAAGGAGGTCGGACTGAGAACCACAATGGCCTCTTTCTTGAGGATGTCTTCCGCCTCCTGGAAGAAGTCCTCGAACGTCCACATTTTATCTGGATTAGCTTCCATGAGACAGAGGATTAGAGACGCCAAGCGCTTCTTGAAGGACCTGTGAGAAACGGCAGAGAATTATCACACGAACGATCACGTCAAACAGCTTCAGGGCGATGGGGGTAGCCGAATGGTTCGATTCCCGACATGGGTACAATGTGTGAGGATCATTTCTGGTGTCCGTGATATTGATGGAATATTGCTAAAAGTGGCATAAAACCACTCACTCACTCGTCACACGTCTTAAACTCGACCGCTTTAGTGTCTACCATAGGCCAAGTGATATTCACTGTTCACTGTTCTTAATGTATTTACATGGCGACCGCCTCCGTGGTGTAGTGGTTAGAGCGTCCGCCCGGAGAGCGGAAGGTCGCGGGTTCGAACCCCGGTCGCGTCATACCAAAAGACGTTAAAATATGGTACTTGTTGGTCCCTGCCTGGCGCTCGGCATTAATGGGTACAACAAGGACTGGTCGGCTCGGAGTCAGTATAATGTGTCTGAGTGGGGTATTCTTGCTTCACTGCGGTATTGTATCTCAGTGGGCTAGCACTACAAAACCAGCTTAAGTCTGGGCTAGTACAAGCAGCCGCACATACACATACACACGCATGCACGTCGTCATATGAGCCAAATATTCTCAAGCACGACGTAAAACCCAATTTCACCTCACCCCACCTATTTACATGGCTCACATTCCACATATCCTCAATGGCGATCGTTTTTCTGTGAGTGGTTTAGTTTAACACTCATTTGAACGGTATTTCTATTATGTCACTGCGTGTCAGGTTTACACCTTTGTTAAACCGAGGGGCACCAGCGCTGAGCTGACAGGCAAACAAAGACTCGAAAGACGACTGTAGATATATTGGACGCATCATTTTACATTCATTACATGGACACACAAACTATGTAGAAGACAGGGAATACATTGTGTCGGTAAACGGTTTTGTGGGGACGGGTGTTAGTTTGTTTGTCAGCTATTGAATGAGACTGTGTATAGTTCAAAGTTTCTCCTGGCATCGCTTCATTCCTTTGTAAATGCTGCAGAACTTCCGTGTGCTTTCATGAGTGAGGAACGCAGTGTTAACACACCAGTGTAAAACTAAACACACCAGTGTAAAACTAAACACACCAGTGTAAAACTAAACACACCAGTGTAAAACTAAACACACCAGTGTAAAGCTAAACACACCAGTGATGGACTCGGGCACAGCGTACTTACTGTGACATGGGGCATGTGGTGGGAAGTTCATCAAACCATCTGATCTCGCCGCGGTGTTTGGTCTGAACCCCGGCAATAACTCCTGCAGGCTTCTTAGCAATCATTTCAAACCTGAAACATTCAGTCCGAGAATAATCGCATGTTTACGAGGGATGACCACAATGTTCCTAACCTCACATTGAAAAACTTGACTTCAGGACATCGCAAAAGACTTATTGTTCAACATGGCCCCGGCAACAACGATCAAAGTTTTCTAACGATGTTGGTAGGATATTAATTCAGCTTTGTAGAGTCCTTTCGGATTTCAAGACGTTTCGACAGCTGATTTAATGGCTAACTATTTGGGTTTAAGTGAGTTCAACTGTTTGGATTTGTTTTGTTATTACCATCGATAGTCTCACATCGTTGCAAAAACCTGTCTGGAGCAGCTTCAAACAGCGCTAAATTCTCACGAGACATGTTTTGCCTTTTTGTTCATCATGAGAAGGTTCCATATCGTAGATTCTCTGAATGATGTCTAGTACTGCTGACTTGACAGGTCCCCCGGGGAGACCGTCATCCTTAAGGCACTCCATGCAAGGCTTACACGCCCACCTCCTTACATGGGTAGGTATATATATACCTCGTGTGGTACTCATATCGTCACGAATGGGTTCTGATGTTAACCCCGTTTTGTGCAATCACTTCGTCACTGCAAGTGTCTCAGGTTTGTGCACATTCCAAAGGTCACGTACACCAGATCATATTGCAGACTTGTGACAGGAACAATGTGCTCATCTGACACGTTTTGTGGGCATACCCATACAACATCATGTAATGACCACAACAAAATATTTCAGTACTACTTGTCTGTCTTATAGTCCCTGAAACTCATTATTTTCCGAGAGCGGAAGGTCGCGGGTTCGATCCCCGACCGCGTCATACCAAAAGACGTTAAAATATGGTACTTGTTGGTCCCTGCCTCGCGTTCGGCATCAATGGGTACAAGAAGGACTGGTCGGCTCGGAGTCAGTATAATGTGTCTGAGTGGGATATTCATGCTTCACTGCGGCGTGGTATCTCAGTGGGCTAGCACTATAAAACCAGCTTAAGTCTGGGCTAGTACAAGCAGCCGCACATACACATACACACGCATGCACGTCGTCATATGAGCCAAATATTCTCAAGCACGACGTTAAACCCAATTTCACCTCACCTCACCCCCCATCTCAATGGGGCTCCTTTTCAATTTAAAAGGAAGTATTTGTTTCTATCAAAATTATATATATTCAGAAACTAAGCGTTGGTCTACGCAATCCTCTCTGTGTCTCCTCAGAAAATATCAGTCAAAACTTGTGTTACTCTAACAACTAAATACAAAAACTATGAAGAAAACTAAGAACACATTTACAGGACTTGAACTTCTGTTTCCGATCTGTTTACAAAAGGACCTGTGTCATTGTCCTTGAACTCACATGGTCAGTTTGTCGGCCCTGCCATGGTGCGGCCGGAAGGGAACTCTCCCAGTGGCAGAGTGATACAGCGTGGCTCCAAGGCTCCATAGGTCAACAGAATGATCGAATTGGCGATCCCGGCCTCTCTCCAGGAACGCAGCTTTGTAGATATCTGGGTGCTGGAATACAAGGTGTGATGATTTGAGGCTTAACTTCGCTGCCATGGTTATTTCACTTACGGGGCGTCTCACACTCGTATGTATGTGCGTGCACGTGATTTTGAGGCTGTAACCCGGACCCTTTTTCCATGGGGGCGGGGAAATAGTGTCTGTAGTGTTCTCTACCCATGGGCTGAAGTCCGACCAGTAAATGATGGAAACTGCCATTGTTAAAAATCTGCTACAAAAAACTACTCCTTTGTGGCTACACTCTTCAAATGACACGATTCCATATTGGTGGTATGACGAATACAACGCGGACCAGGCATATGACTTTGAGGGCAGGGTACATAAATTTGAGGTTCAGTTGTGTAACTCTGAGGCATGAGTATATGATGTTGGTAACACGTATATAACTTTGAGGCCTCGGTATGTAACTTTGAAGTCCAGTTGTGTAACTTTGAGGCATGAGTATATGATGCTGGTAACACATATATAACTTTGAGGCCTCGGTATGTAACTTTGAGGTCCAGTTGTGTAACTTGGAGAAATGAGCATATGATGTTGGGACCTAGTCATTGTTCATACAATCATCCACTTTATATGACCAATCCTTGCGCGACTGTATACGGCCGCCATAGATGTTTCTGACTTTGGCGTAAAATAACATGCATTCTCTCTCGCGTTCAAGTTACGTTTTACGAACTCCCATTTTACCACTTTACTGTATCTAAATATTCCACAAAGTATTTAAGTACCAAGTATTCTTCCGTTCCCACAAGAGACTGGAAACATTCGTCCGGCATCAATGGCTTCGCGGTACCAAAATCTGACAGCTTGTACAGTGAGCTGAGAAAGAAAACCAGGCATAAATTCAAAGTGAAAGTTTTGAAATCTAAAACAAGACATTGAAACCTCTTGCAGCTGCAGTGTATCATTGACAGACCCTGCATTAACGAATTCCCGTCTAACAAACCGGCATGGATATTGAGTAATGTGACTTTGTATGGATTTCCCAAAAGGTCTCCAGAGGAATATTGGACGAACTAAACAAGTTTCACTTTTATAATACGTTTTAGTGTCTTTACATAAGGGACCGGAAGGTATTCTGTTACAGCTTTTTCTCAGTACAATCACATTAATCAGAATTATGAAACAAATGACATTATAAAGCTGTCAAGTCAACCAAGATCATGACGACACTTTAATGTCTGACGTTGACACGTGTGGACACCAAGGGGGCACGCGTGGTGGAATAGTGTTTAACGTCACGTACAAAATCATTTCACTCACACAGGCACGTGTGGTGGAATAGTGTTTAACGTCACATACAAGATCATTTCACTCACACAGGCACGCGTGGTGGAATAGTGTTTAACGTCACATACAAGATCATTTCACTCACACAGGCACGTGTGGTGGAATAGTGTTTAACGTCACATACAAGATCATTTCACTCACACAGGCACGTGTGGTGGAATAGTGTTTAACGTCACATACAAGATCATTTCACTCACACAGGCACGCGTGGTGGAATAGTGTTTAACGTCACATACAAGATCATTTCACTCACACAGGCACGTGTGGTGGAATAGTGTTTAACGTCACATACAAGATCATTTCACTCACACAGGCACGTGTGGTGGAATAGTGTTTAACGTCACATACAAGATCATTTCACTCACACAGGCACGTGTGGTGGAATAGTGTTTAACGTCACGTACAAGATCATTTCACTCACACAGGCACGTGTGGTGGAATAGTGTTTAACGTCACATACAAGATCATTTCACTCACACAGGCACGTGTGGTGGAATAGTGTTTAACGTCACGTACAAGATCATTTCACTCACACAGGCACGCGAGCAAGAGTGTGTGTAAGTGTGCGAATGCGTTTGCGTGCGTGTGTGTATGCTTGTCATATTGCATACATATTGCTACGATTCGTCAATGTAAAATGGATGTCCAATCCAATCCCAGCAGCCGGTTCGCACCAAAATACGGTAACATATGGCACAGGGTAACAGGTACCATCGTTTAACGTTGTCTGGATATGACACAGCCTTGGGATGGAACTACCGACCTCCACTTCTCAAGGCAGACACTCCGTCCACTACACCAAGGAGGATGTTGCAGTCACCTGGTATGAGTGAGTGAGTTATTTTTACGCGGCTTTTAGCAATATTCCAGCACTATCACAGCGGGGACACCAGAAATGGGCTTCACACACTGTACCCATGTGTGGAATCGAACCCGGGTCTTTGGCGTCCGGAACCACAAAGGTAATTATTTATTGCTTCACATAAATCTTCCTGTGGGGTAGCCTAGTAGTTAAGGCGTTCGCTCGTCAGGCCGAAGACCTCGGTTTGATTCCCCACATGGGTACAATATGTGAAGCCCATTACTGGTGTCCCTCGCCGTGATATTGCTGGGAAATAGCTAAAATCAGCGTAAAAAAACTCACTCACTTACTCACTTTCCTTGTATATTACCTGCCGTCTTCGGAAATACATCGGAGGATGTTAGCTGGTTTGATGTCTCTGTGAATGAAGCCCTTCTCGCGGTAGTGCTTCATGCCATCCACTGTTCAAACAAAATATTTAAACTAAAGAATCTATGGATCTTCTCCAGTAATCCTCAATGCAGAGTTTGTTTACAGAGGCTTTCTCTCTACCACAGAGAGTAATATGTTATTTGATATATTGTACAACAAATTTGAATGTCAGTAGTTCAGAACAATATGTTGTATGGTTGGTACAATTCTATTTAAAGACATGAGTAAAATTTCACTTTGTATCCGTTCTCAATACCAACTTCGAAACATCACATATGCCTGTGGATTTGTAACAATAGCGGGCTTAATAGTAAGTGCGTGAGCGAGATAATTGGGTCTGACGCACCATTTGGAAAAATTCCAGATCACGGTGTTCACCCAATTAATCATCTTCAACGTTTATAGTTCATATGGCTAAGCCTGGGGTGTGGCAACGTTCCGAGTAAAGTAGTTAGGAAATTTCCCAAAATACGTTGAGAAATTGGTAGAGGCTTTTAAATTGAACCTCTTAAAATAGTGACAACATAGTGACAATGAAGCAAGGATGGCGGATTAAACTACAAGAGTTCAGATATATATAACACGTCACAATTTAATTCTGGACTCACAAAAGTCCAGAAACTCTCCGCACTGTGGGCACTTTCTGACAAGGGATTTGAACAAATTAAACATGCAGTGGTTATGAATATATGCCAAGGATGAAAAAATGAAAAAAAATTCTTTCGAAAACTTTAAATTTAAACTCGCTCGCCCATGGGCAGGCCCATGGGCGAACAGTGGCCCATGGGCCGGCCCATGGGCGAGAATGTTTAATTTCGATCAGAATTCATGTTTTGGAGGTTGTAAATGAATGAGTGTATGTTTGTAAGCACCATGAAACAAATTTCAACTCATTTTGACTTAATTCGACTAATTTAGAGCGATATTAAAAAATCTCGCCCATGGGCGAAAAACATTTTGGCCCATGGGCGAAAATATTGACTTTTACTCAAAATATATGTTTTTCCATGTTTTGGAGGTTGTAAATGAATGAATGTATGTTTATAAGTACCATGAAACAAAATTCAACTCATATTGACTTAATTCGACTAACTTAAAACGATATTAAAAAATCTCGCCCATGGGCGAGAATATTGGCTTTTAATCAAATACATGATTTTCCATGTTTTGGAGGTTGTAAATGAATGAGTGTATGTTTATAAGTACCTTGAAACAAAATTCAACTCATATTGACTTAATTCGACTAACTTAGATGGATGCTAAAAAATCTCGCCCATGGGCGGAACACATTTTGGCCCATGGGCGAGAATATTGACTTTTACTCAAATACATGATTTTCCATGTTTTGGAGGTTGTAAATGAATGAGTGTATGTTTATAAGTACCATGAAACAAAATTCAACTCACATTGACTTAATTCGACTAACATAGAGCGATATTACAAAATCTCGCCCATGGGCGAAACACATTTTGGCCCATGGGCGAGAATATTTACTTTTACTCAAAATACATGTTTTTCCATGTTTTGAAGGTTGTAAATGAATGAGTGTATGTTTATAAGCATCATGACACAACTCATTTTGACTTAATTTGACTAACTTAGAGCGATATTAAAAAATCTCGCCCATGGGCGAGAATATTGACTTTTACTCAAAATACATGATTTTCCATGTTTTGGAGGTTGTAAACGAATGAGTGTATGTTTATAAGTATCATGAAACAAAATTCAACTCACATTGACTTAATTCGACTAACTTAGAACGATATTAAAAAATCTCGCCCATGGGCGAAACACATTTTGGCCCATGGGCGAGAATACTGACTTTTACTCAAAATACGTGATATTCCATGTTTTGGAGGTTGTAAATGAATGAGTGTATGTTTATAAGTACCATGAAACAAAATTCAACTCATATTGACTTAGTTCGACTAACTTAGATGGATGCTAAAAAATCTCGCCCATGGGCGAAAAATAGGTTGGCCCATGGGCGAGAATATTTACTTTTACTCAAAATATATGTTTTTCCATGTTTTGGAGGTTGTAAATGAATGAGTGTATGTTTATAAGTATCATGAAACAAAATTCAACTCACATTGACTTAATTCGACTAACTTAGAACGATATTAAAAAATCTCGCCCATGGGCGAAACACATTTTGGCCCATGGGCGAGAATATTGACTTTTACTCAAAATACATGATTTTCCATGTTTTGGAGGTTGTAAATGAATGAGTGTATGTTTATAAGCATCATGAAACAAAATTCAACTCATATTGACTTAATTCGACTAACTTAGAACGATATTACAAAATCTCGCCCATGGGCGAAAAATAGGTTGGCCCATGGGCGAGAATATTGACTTTTACTCAAAATACATGTTTTTCCATGTTTTGGAGGTTGTAAACGAATGAGTGTATGTTTATAAGTATCATGAAACAAAAGTCAACTCATATTGACTTAATTTGACTAACTTAGAGCGATATTAAAAAATCTCGCCCATGGGCGAAAAAGAGGTTGGCCCATGGGCGAGAATGTATAATTTCGATCAGAAGTCATGTTTTGGAGGTTGTAAATGAATGAGTGTATGTTTATAAGCATCATGACACAAATTTCAACTCATTTTGACTTAATTTGACTAACTTAGAGAGACATTAAAAAATCTGGATTATTTACGGTAACATGGATTAGCGAATTGCCGGGAGACCCACTTTCACACGATCACTCAACCATACCCATTGCCGGTTGAGCCAAACCATTTTCAACTCTTGTTCTCTTAAAAGTGGCTTTCCCGGACTATAGCTATCAGCACACCCCAATCCGACCATCTGTCATTAATTACCTGTCATGAGCTATCAGTTGTATTGAAAGCTCTCGCCTATTGTTTCATTACTTAATGGTTTCACGGATTGGTATGTAGTCACTCCAAATTCACCCATATGTGCGTGACTGTCCTCTCCGACGTCCGCGCCCACCTCTCAACCTAGCAATCTCGATCCACTTTCTGCTCACTATCAAGCCATCTACAACTTCACCTCTCTCTCCAACCACCTGTCTTCTCAGAGGTCCGCGCGCCTCTATATTCCTTCATTTTTCACATCAACTCTACCTCCCAACAACTACTGTCTCCCTCCGAGGTCCGCGCGCCTACAGCCACCACCGACCCCGCCGCCTCTCAAGTACCATCCATAACAAACTCCACGGTCAAGGCCGCCCATAGCCCTCAATTACTACACTCGCTCAGCCTGCCTTGCCCCCTCAATGCTCCCATACCACCCTTCACCCCACTCCACCCTAGAAGGACTTACAAGGTCCTTTCATACGTTGGCGACTGTGCACAAATTTAGCCATCACTTAAAAACACAAGTATCCTACTATTATAAACCTGGTGTATCTAAATTTACTTCAAATGTTTTTAGACATACGTACCCTCTCAAGAAGACAAAACTGTGAAACCCGTAAAGGTCCGGGTCAGAATTGGCCTTCAGTAACCCATGCTTATCGTAAAAGGTGACTACCGGGATCGGGTGGTCAGGCTCGCTGGCTTGATTGACACATGTCATCGGTTCCCGACTGCGCCGAACCCGTGAAGATCCGGGTTAGAATTGATCTTCAGTAACCCATGCTTGTCGTAAGAGGCGACTAACGGGATCGGGTGGTCAGGCTCGCTGGCTTGGTTGACACATGTCATCGGTTCCCAATTGCGCTGATCGATGTTCATGCTGTTGATCACTGGATTGTCTGGTCCAGACTCGATTATTTACAGACCGCTGCCATATAGTTGGAATATTGCTGAGTGTGGCGTAAAACTAAACTGACTCATCCAACTGCTTAGATCGATGCTCAATTTGTTGATCACTGGATCGTCTGGTATAGACTCGATTATTTACAGACCGTCGCCATATAGCTGGAATATTGCTGAGTGCAGCCTAAAACTAAACTTACTCGCTCACTCACTCCAAACTGTGAAAATTAGGAACACCTCTAGCTACCAACAATGTCAACAAGAACATAATGGAGTCCCTGCATCAATACATCTTCAAGACTAAACGAATCGATAAATTATTCTAGACCAATATCTGTACGCAAATAATTAAATGTAACTGCAAGTTCAAGGTTCCTAAGCACGTACGTACAATGCACATTTACCCTACCTCATGTAATAATGTCCATCTCTGATTGATTCACGTGACCTTGAACAAATGGTGGACGGAAAAAAGTCATGAAAAAAAAGACATAGAAAAAAATAACTATTATAAAACATCATGTCCTCCAGTTATTTACTTTGTTTATACTATTTCACTTTCAAGTTAATTATTCCTTTAGTGTGACGCTTTAAGCAATTGGATCTTATCAAAACAGGAGAGATGAACAGATTGTGGGATTAAAAGTCACAAGTCACCTGATTGTTTATTTAACTAGCTTTGAGCTTGACGATATCACAGCGATTAATGAACTCATGGGATTATCAGTTAATGCTCTTACTCAAATGGCTCCCTTCTAGCAGCTAATATAAGACTCGCTGCCCGTCAGACTGTGATCCAAACTCTTCATGGCATTGGCTGGAACATTCGGTTAAATATAATAAAAATATGCTGGGACAACTGACTGATGTAGTGCTGTTGCAGATCAAAGTGTTATGATGACAGTGCATTTTCTGATGTCATGTATTTTACTTGAATGATTACATTAATTTTATAAGTTAGGTTCAAATGTGGTAGTGCTGTTGATGATAATATTGTTATGACTTGTTAAAAAATACATCATCAATACTGACCTTTTTGAGTTTATGACTTTTTCCTATGACTTTTTCCTACCCAAATCTATTACTTTTTCCCTATGACTTTTTTTCTACAACCGAACAAATTACAATGTATGCCGGGTGCACGGTTGTGCACTGCTTGGGTGGTGTTGTACAAATCATTAGGCAGAATAAATCATTTATATCCCGCCCCATTGAAAAAAACGGTATCTTCCCATAAGACAGACAAAATAGTTTATTTATGTGTCACGTGAATGTACATAAGATAGAC